AAGAAGTTGCTGCGGTGGAGGTCAAGGAGGTTGTTTCCTGCTTTCTCCTCTAGGGTGTTGATAGTTTCCTGTCTCACGTTCAGGTCCTTTATCCATTTTGAGTTTATTTTTGTGCATGGTGTGAGAAAATGATCTAGTTTCATTCTTCTGCATGTTGCTGTCCATTTCTCCCAACACCATCTGCTAAAAAGGCTGTCTTTTTTCCATTGGATATTCTTTCCTGCTTTGTCAAAGATTAATTGGCTGTATACTTTTGGGTCCACTTCTGAGTTCTCAATTCTGATCCATTGGTCTATGTGTCTGCTTTTGTGCCAATACCATACTGTCTTGATGATGACAGCCTTGATGATGACTGTCTTTGTAGTAGAGGCTAAAGTCTGGGATGGTGATACCTCCCGTTTTGGTTTTATTTTTCAGTATTACTTTGGCTCTTCAATTCTTTTAACCTCTTAACTATCTATCTTATAACTGGAGCCAACATCTCCCATTTCTCTATGCCATTGGATATTATTCAGCCATTTAAAAAGAAAGAAATCTTGCCATTTGCACCATGGATGGACCTTGAGGGCATTATTCTAACTGAAATAGGTTAGACAGAAAAAGACAAATACTGTATGATCTTACATATATATGGAATCTTTAAAAAAAAAAAAAAAAGCAAGCTCATAGATATAGAGAACATATTAGTGGACGTCAGGGGTGGCTGGTGGAGGTAGGGGTGAAGGGGGTTAAAAGGTACAAACTTCCAACTTAAGAAGTCACAGGGATGTAATGTACAGCCTGGTCATTATAGTTAGTGACATTGTACTGCATATTTGAAAGTTGTTGGGGAGTAAATCTGGAATTTCTCATCACAAGAAAAATAATTCTGTAGCTATGTGTGGTGATGGACGTTAACTAGACTTGTTTTAGGGATCATATTCAGTTTTTAAAAAGTCTCTAATTCATTTTGAGTTAATTTTTGGTGAATAGTGTAAGATAGAGATCAAGTTTCATTCTTTTGTAGGTGGATTTCTATTTTTCTTAGCACCATTTATTGAAGAGCTCATCCTTTCTCCACTGTGTATTCTTAGTTTTCTGGTGAAATATTTGACCATATACGTGTGGGCTTATTTCTGCGCTCTCTTTTATTCCATTGGTCTATGTATCTGCTCTTATGGGAGTATCATTAAGATACGATCCTACATTTTCTTCTCAAGGATTTCTAGTTTAGGGCACCTGGGTGGCTCAGTTGGTTGAGCGTCCAACTCTTTATATCAGCTCAGAGATAATTTATGATTTCGCAGTTGTGATATCAAACCCCGCGTTGGGCTCCAGGCCAAGCATGGAGGCTGCTTGAGATTCTCTCTCTCTCTCTCTCTCTCTCTCTCTCTCTCTCTCTGTCTCTCCCTCTCTCCCCCTCTCCCCACCCCTCTCTCTGCCCTTCCCTACTCACATGCACCCTTTCTCTCAAAATAAATAAATAAACATTTTAAAAAATAAAAGTTTTATACTTTCAGCTCTTAAGTTTAGGTCTTTGATCCATTTTGAATTAACTGTTATGTATGGTATGAGGAAAGGATCCACCTTCATTCTTTGGCATGGGCATATCTGGTTTTCCCAGCATCATTTAAGAGACAATGTTTCCCCCCACATTGAACGGTCTTGACATCCTTGTCAGACATCAATTGACCATGTATGTACGGGTTTATTTCTGAAGTGTTTATTCAGTTGGTCTGTATGTCCATGTTTATGCCAGTAACACAATGTTTTAAGTATTATAGCTTTGTGTGAAGGTTTGACCTCAAGGAAATGTGAGTCCCTCGATTTTGTTATTCTTTCACAAGATAGTTTTGGCTA